TATGTAGCTAATCTCATGGTTTCAGTATAAATAACGTAACATATAGAAAGGCCCACCATGGTGGACTGCAGTGTCTGCAGATACTAACTACTAAAATTTTCTACCTCTCTGGCAATGTTTGGCCCTCCAACTTCCTGAAGCATGTATCTTAAGTTCTTCAGCCATCCTCTTACTTCATTTACGGTTTTACCGTATAAATCATTAAACCCAACCCTTTTCCACCTTTTAAGATTTATTTCTGGTCTATGCTAAATACTTCCAATCTAGACCTCCAGCCCAAACACATCTGGGAGATAAAAGTCACCCCCACAGGCAACCCAATCTTGAACTCACTGTATCAAGCCCCTCCAACTCCACCTTCCAAATCTATTTTGTCTTCTAATTCAGGATCTCAGAGACATAAACAACCACTGGCAAGTAACCTCAGAGAGCCATCATCCACCTCTTCTGCCACCCCCCGTACCTCATCCCCCATCTCATGGGGAACAACCATAGGCCTGCCTGACCCCGAGGAAATCACCACCTACCTCTCCTTCCCCATTGCAACACCTTGGATCACGCCTTGGTGTTTTCTCTTGGATTCTGCTTGCATTGGTCCCATCATTTGACCTCCCTGCCTCCCGCCTGGACAGCCTTCATTCCATCCTCCTGGCAACTACCCCAGGACTCAAATTGACTATACAGAATGACCTTTGGAAGTCTGACCTTGATTGCCTAAGCTTCCTCTGTTCTCCCATACCACACTCCCCCCAAACCAGTCAACACTAAGTTCCCTCAGTGCCCTTGACACACTGTTCCACCAGACAGACTCTCATTCTTCCCCCAAGTCTTTGCCTGCCTTACAAATTCTTATTGGTCTTTCATGGTTCAGCTCAGAAGCTACCTCTTCAAGGGCTCCTCTCTGGACACATGGCATTGGGTGGCCTATTCATATTCTTGTCATAGCATCTGGGGGCTACGTCCCACTTATTTTTCTCTGAATTCCTTTCCCTTTGGTACTTCCCAGTGTCTAGCACAACATGGGGCATTAGTAAACAGTATCTGTTAAGTAGGTGAAATAATCCCCAATTTAACATCACTCCCTACTTCTCAGGGTTCTCCCGCCTCTACATCACCATACCTTGGTCTATTTGTTCTTCCCAATCCTGAACATTATTTTATCCTCTAAAAAAAAGAACCTGCCTCCAAAAACTACCTATTTCATTGCTTTGATATTACTTAAGTATTTTTTACTTCCTTAAATGGCATAAAAGCTGAATAACTCAAATGTTAAAAAAGCACCAATATTTTGGTAGTCAATAAATCAGACAATTTATAATTAAGTTGTTTGCACAACTAAGATGTCAACAAAGATCTTTGGTACCACTTTCCAAAAGTTCGATTCTATTATTGTTTGGTGTTTTACTGAACCTGAAGACAAATGCAAAAATTAAACTGCCAAATGTTTCTGAAGAGATTAAAAATAACTGCTGTAGGAAACAAAGGAGATCTTACCACTTGCAGTTTTTTGTTTCCACTTTTGGCTAATTCTGATTAGTTCTGGGTTATAAAGCATGTCATCCTGTTAGTGAGTGGTCTATTATCTCAGTCATCTCTCATGTGTCTTCAGATAATGTTTGCTACAATCTCCTACTTGAGAAGTCTTAACTGCAGCTGACTAGACCTTTTTGTGTGTGTGAGCTATGACGAGCTGAATTTATTTTCATTCAAACTTCTAATTCTCATGTACTTACCATATGACCCAGCCAAGGAGACATAAAACTAATGTTCAGACTAAAACCTGTATGCAAATGTTTACAACTTTATTCACAATCACCAGAAACGGGAAAACCCTGATGTCCTTCAACCACTGAATGAAGAAAAAGCTGAGGTACATCCATACAGTGGCCTACAACTAAGCAATAGAGAAGAACCAAGTATGGATACACACAGCAAAATGGATGAATCTCAAATATTTGTGTGGCATTCTGGAAAAGATACAGACAGAGGGACAGTACAAACCAGTAGCTGCCAGGGGATGAGTCTGACTGCAAAGGGTCATCAGGACAGTTTTGGGGCCGAGGGAACTATTACTTATTAATAGACAGTGGTGGCAGATAGACAGTGCTATACACTAGTCAAACCCAGAGAACTGTACACCACCAATAAATTTTACTACATGTAAATTTAAAATTTTTAATTACTTAGTCATGACTTTAGGTTAAAGATCCTCTCCTAACTCTAACACAAAGGTGTGGCTTTCCTTAACCTTGGGCGTAGCAGAGGTTATTGATTTGTTATGGAATTGTATTGATTAGGAAGAGATACTGAGGGAATGAGGAGGGAGTAACCCCAGATCTTTTCCAGATACTTCCATTTCCCTTGTATTGGCAACTCTGCTCCAGATACACACAGCCAGATGGAGTCCTACCAAGGACACAGGCAAGGTTATTCAAAACCAACAGAAGACAGACTATACCCCACAGCAATGCCCAAGAAAGCATTTCCAGGGGAAAAAATGAAGAGGTTGGGAGACTAGAAATCCTAAAATCCTAACCCATCCCGGTCAAAGGGCTAAAGCAGAAAACCCATTCCCGTGCTGGCTGCCTCCTTCCTAGACCTTCCTTTAAAAGGGAGTCAAGGCGGGTGGGGGCGGGGAACCTCTTTGTGACAAAACAGGGGAAAAGGAGATGGCAGAGCCCTCCAGAACCAGGAGGCTGAGTTCTAAAAGCCCTGGATCCAATGTTCTTCCACATGGAAAAAATGATCCTAAGTAGGCAAATGACAAAAACAAGCAAAGGGTTCAACGGCCAGTGACACTTTCTTTCCAGTGTACCCTCTCCAGCCAAACCCACACATTCCTCCCGCAGAGATGGCCGCCTTGGGGACTGCTGCAGGCAATCCCCACCAGAAGCCGGGGCTGCGGGCTCCAGGTGTGGCTGCCTCCAAGGCGACGGGGGACAGCAACACCCAGGCCCAGCCCGTGTATGGGTGCCACCCTGTTCCCTCCGGCCTCTTCCAGGAAGGGGAATGCTAATGCTGTTGCTGTTCTCCACACACACATTCACATTCCCAAGCCCAGGAAACTCTGATCCTCTCCCCTGGGGCCCTGGGCTGCCACATTGTTAGAGCTCAGCAGGGGACCGCCACCTGAGACAGACCTCCATCCAAGATGAGCTTCCCGATTGCAGCCCAGGAGAACCAGCTCTCCAACCTCACTCACACTGCATTTGCAGCTGGAAAGACCGGCCTAAATGCAAAACAAATGCTCTTTTTCAGGAGCCTTCTGGGAGAGGGGGAGGAACAAAGCCAAAAGCCACAGAGAGAGTAAACCAGAACATTCTGTGACATACAATGCTTTACAAAAAGGGCTTTTAAACATATTACCAAGAAAGACTCCTTACCATGGGGGGGTTTAGCTGTCAAAGTGACGTGAAAATCACTGGCTTTCTCAAGACAAGAGTGAAGGACTAAATTATAAAACAGTTTATTGTAGCAAGCTCATTAAGGTTTATCATATTAGCCATCTGAGTTTTAGTTGGCACCAAAAAAGCAGGAGCAGCACAATGTGCAACATGGACCAGGATCTGCTTTGCAAGCAGATTTCTGCCCACATTCAGACACAGCACCTCTGGCAGCCCAAGCCGTTGCAGAATTGAAAACCAATTTCAGCACAGTGATTTGTCATGAATTTTGTTCCATCACGTAAGCCATTTACTGGTCTATCAGTCCGAGATTACATTTATCTCTATTAAATACCACACAACGTACTCTGAGCTAACCATACACTCCCTTTTCCCTTTGCCAGTTTTTTCACACACTGGATGCTCTGCAAACCGCACGAAATATTTCTGAACAATAAAAACCCTTGCCTACTTGACACCCTCCAGGGCAGATATTCTGCCCACCAACTGCCAGAACACAACCAATTCTAAGATCCTCAGCGTTTCTGAAAAGACCCAGTTCTGCTGACCGCGAAGAGGAACAAAATGCCCTCTCTTCACAGTAGAGGAGAAATTTCTTTTCAATCATGTCTTGTGTGGCCTCCCCTGGACTGTCCTGTTACCAAACCAGAAGACAGAACCAGTTCTATCTGTTGATGACATCAGATTGGATGTGATTCTGAAGCTGCTGGTTTCCTGTTTGGGGAAGTAGACCTTCTTTTCATAAGGAACCCCCCCAGGCAAAACGTTTAGTAGTTCCCCTGTAAGCTCCCACTGCCTTTGTTCTTCCCTTGCCTACATTCATCCCTGCTGGCCTCCTCGCTTCTGCAAAAACCGATTCTGGAGGGTGCACAACAATGCCAGCTCGAATCTAACCTCCATCTCGTAAGGCAGCAGACATTTTCCGCCATCCACTGCTGTAAAGCTTGGAGTTAACAGGCATCTTTCCACAGAGGAAGCCAGACTACCCGCTTTCTTCCTGGTATAGCATTAGGATTCCACATTAAAATGTATGCCACAAATAATCCAATGGCAAACTCACCGTCAACAGCCCCCAAAATCAATAAAAGCCATTCCACCACTTGACTCCGAGTGAAAAACCTTTCAGGTTAACAGAAAGCAAGGTTTAAAAAAAAAAAAAAAAGGTGATGAATGAACAAAAGGCAAATCTACCTTAAGACTTCTCAAATCCCAAAAAGGTGGCGAAGCTGCCTCGATTTGGTGAAGTCCTTCTTTCTTTGTAATCATCCTTTGTAATCATCAGGAAAATACTACATGTGTGCTGCTTTAGTCTAATGCAAAACAGGGCATTCTCTACAAGGCCCTGCCGCCTACCATCCCCTAAGCTTGCTTCTTTCCAGGCCTGAATCTTCTAAATGATTAGACAAAGGCGATTTTATGAGGTCATTCTGATTTTGCCTGGACAGGAATACCATCATAAAGTCACTCTAATCCCATTATAGGTGGGTAACAGTTAGAGCCCAATATTACTTCCAGAGTACCAATCTATTGTCAGTCTGTGTCTGAATGGATCTTCAAATAAATACTTAAATTCATGCTCAAAATATCATCTCTCACCTTGTGAACCTTGACCTTTGGGAAAGACTTTGGAACAGTGCTCAGTTACTGTCACACGGGCATTCTCTGCAAAGATGAAAGGGTTAAAAGCAGCCACAGTCAACAGGCCTACAAGGGGGGGGGAAAAAAAAAGACAGCATGTATGCCTTACAGCATCACTGGAAAGCATTTATGCTCATTTTCTAGAACAATACTGTTACCTTTTGGCCTTCATAATAGTCAGAAGTATCCCCAACACCCTTTAGTAGCTTCTAAAAGGAAAAGCACAAAACAGAACATACCCTGCAAGAGAAAAAAAAGCATGCAAAGTAGCAATCTCCAGCAACAAACTACCATTACAAATCCATCAGTTCATTCTGGTTTGGTTTTGTTAAAAACGAGAGATTGAGATTGAGAGAGAGAGAGAAAGAGAGAGAGAGAGAGAGGTATAAACCAAGTGTCCCCACCCTAGCAAGTCACATTTTTTTTTTTTCTTTAATAAGGGTCATAAATCTCAGCTCCTTGTCCATCCCTTAAGCAAAAGAAAAAGGCAGGAAAAGCCCAAGTAATCTCAGACCTTGCAAACCTGCACATTTCCCCCATCTTCTCTACACAGGCTCTTTCAGGACTCCATTAGCCACATACCAGTGCTGTGTGGTGTCTAAGTGTGCATTCACATACTGTGTTGGGATGGTACCTTCCTGCAAGCGCCTCTGCTTTTGGCTGCCATGAAGGGAGGAAGCTGCTATCCCACTGTAGGAGCTCAGTGACTGCATTGTGTTCAGGAGCTGATCTGCCTCAAACCAGTCTCAGCCGGTTCTGGTCACCCTACATAAAAAAGCTATGGCAACCCTCCCTGAGTTGCCAACAAGTCCCTGAAAATCATCAGCGCAGGGGGCTCTCGCAGGGGGTTGCTCTTCCCTTGCAGGTCTTCCTGGGGAGGGGAAGGTCATCGTGTGTCCCCCCACCACCACCACCACCACACAAGCACCCAGGCTTGGAAATGCCCACCTCACAAGCACTCCAGAGCCCCTGAGGGCCCATCCCCCACCCCCTCCACCCCAAAGCCCACCGCAGACCCTGTGGCCCCCTCCTTCCGCCTTCCCCCACTTACCTCCCACAACCTGGCTCAGATCTGTGTGTACCTGTGTGTCAGTGTGTGTTCCCTTGTGTTGGTGGCTGACAAAGAGCCCCCAAGAAAAGCAAATCTATGTGTGTCTGCTCACACTGGACGCGTTGGCTGCGGGAGCCGGCCTCGGCCTCCTGGCTGAGTGGTGCTGGCTTGTTGACCAGGCTCCTCGCTGCCTGTCACCCCCACCCCACCCAGCCCCCTCCTCCCGTGCCTCTCTCTCTCTCTCCCAACCCTGTCACCACCGCCAGCAGCCCCCCCAGTCTCCTCCTCCTCCTCCTCCAACCTTCTCTTCTTTCAGGCACCTGGGGGGAGACGTCCAAATCCCTTCACCTCGGGGCAGACGACTAAAAAAAAAGATGCCTGGGGTGGGAGTAGGGGGGGCACGAAGGGGCAGTGAGAAAGAGGGGGCACCGAGGCCTCGGGAAGCCCTGTGCGCAGCCGGCGCCGCAGGGAGGAGGCGAGCCCCTGGCTCACGTGGGGCCCCCCTCAGTGAACCTGTGTGGGGCCTAGCAACACCGGCCGGTCCTCGGCCCCCCAAGAAAGCTGGCCAAGCCGCGAAGGCCGGCGTCCCCGAGGCCAGGGTGGGCCAGGCCGCGGCGGCCAAGCCAGAGAGGGCCTGAGCCTCACGCGCTCGCCCCGAGCCGCGGGGCGCACGAGGGGCCGCGCCCCTCCTCGCCCCGGCGCCCACCCGTGCGCCCCTCCTCGCTCGCCGGCCGCTGGGGGGGCCCCCCCGCACCCCTTCCCCCGGGCGCACACCCACCCCTTCCCGGGTTGGCCTTCGCAGCGGTCAAGCCCGGGCGCCTGGGCCGCAGCTCGGATGACCTTTGTTCCGCGCGGCGCCGCCGGCGGCTGCTGCTGCTGGGGCTGCGGCTGCTGTCGTCGTAGCGGCGGCGGCGGCGGCTCCATGCTACGGGCGTGTCCGCTGCATCCCCGCGGCCGCCGGGGTCGGTGTGTGCGTGCGAGCGAGGTGGAGCGGCCTCGCGCCGCCGCCTCCCGCCTCCCGGCTCCCGGCTCCCGGCCGCCCCGCCGCCGCCGCGGCCTCGCCGTGCGCCCGGCCCGGGCCCCGCGCCTCCCGGGCGCCGCGCTCTAGGCCGCGCGCTGGCGGCGGCGGGGCGGCCCGCGGGGCCGGGGCCTAGGGCCGGGGGTGCGGGCCCTGCGGCGGCGGCTCGGCCGGAGCGGCGAGCGAACAAAAGGGAGCGCGGCGGAGGGGGAGGGGGCGGCCGCGGGGGGAAGGGAGGGCTGGGTCGCGGGAGCCGGAGCGCGAAGCCCCGCGGCCGGCGGGCGCCCCGGTGGTGCCGCCGCCGCCGCCGATGCGAGAGGGAGCCCCGCGGACCTGCCAAGTCTCGCCCATCTGGGGCTGCTGGGCTGCAGCTTCGCCCCGGAGAGCGGGGTGGTTGGTGGTGGTGGTGAGGGGATGGAGGGAGGGCTGCTTGCTTTTTTTTTTCTTTCTTTCTTTTTTTTTTTTTTTTTTCTTCTCTCTCCAACGACATGTCAGGCTCACCCAGTCCTTGCCATGGCCCCAAAAAGCCGCAACTTACTGGAGTGGAAGCAAGCAAGGCCTCGGCAGAGCTGCTGGAGAAAGACCGTAGCCTCGACCCAGGTTCTGGAAGCCAAGGTGGTGTGTGTTCTCCTCGCAATGGTGGCAAACAAGGAAGAAGAGAGCACGCTGTCATGTCTTCGGAGACATTCAATGGGGGATGCTCCCTGGAAGCGGGAGAAGGGGCTCCCCTTCGGTCCAGTTAGCGACTTGGAGCCCTTTTCGCCTTAAACGGAGCCACAAAGCATGGAAGACACCCCCCTCCCTGGGGTGGAGAGAAAGCCCTGGTGTAAAAAAAAAACACGTTTTGCTTTCAGAGAAAAAAGCCACTGGGGCCAAATTGAAACATGGCATGTTCGGTTTATGTCTTTTTTTTTTTTTCTTCCTTTTTTTTTTCCTTAAATGGGGGAATGATATTGAGTAAACAAGAAGTAATAGCTAGGTCTTTAAATTCAAGAAGGGAGGTGGTGTGCAAAGGTGTAACAAGCACGTATTGTGCATACAGCAGGTGGTCATAGCCCACAGAACTCAAAAGGATACATATGTATAAATAAACCCCGCCAAGCCCACAAAGGTGTGTAATCAACACATCCGACAGACACAATATCTTACCACCACGTCAGGACTGCTATGTATCCAGCCCTGTGTCCTAGTTCCTATGGGGCTCACACACCTGCACCCAATGGGGTCTTTTAAAACGAGAGAGAAAAACCTCTGCCAAGCTCATTGTGTGTACCCTAGAAATAGTGCAAAACAGAAAGATCTGAAAAATATATATATATACATCACCAAAACCTCTTCAAAAGGCTCACTCCCATTGCAGTGAAAACGCCCAGCATAGGAAGCGCTTTTTGTGTGCTTTATTTTAAATTAGGCTAATTGCTTACTATTTGCAAAGTGCTGGGAAGTCGGTTTTTTAAATCTCAGTGTGCCTCTCCTTTGCATTAACTGCCTTTGAGGAAGCCATTGTTCGTTATGGAGACACGGTGTGATGTAAATTGAAGTAGCATTTTTGCTATTTAAGGCTTTTCATGTAAATGAACCAGACGATTGTCTCACCAAAGAGTTGAAGAGTTGTTGGTCTTTCATTTCAAACGGCAAATTGTTTGGAGTTGCACGTAAATTGGGGGGCCTATTTCCACGTGTTTAGAAAGACCTATGTAATCTGCAAATTTTACCAGCAGCGGCCTCACATTTATCACCGTTACAAGATGATGAAATTGAATCTCATCTTCTTTTAGCCTGAAAACGGTGCCAGTACTCTGTGGGTTGAGTTTCAGCTTTACCTGGGCTTGATTTCATTTGAGAGGAGGCCTTCTTTCTTCTCCTCAGAGTGGGCCCTTATTAATATGCATGTGGAGAAAACATTATATGCATTGAATAGAATCCAGAGACTTGCCTATCGGAAATCTCGATAACGCTACACACAGTACAATATATGGAATTTCATAATGTGCATGCCAGAGTAAATCCTACGTTTCCTAGATTTGAAATCTTTGTTTACTTCAAATGCAATCTTGCCCCTCCCCCACTCCCTTCCCTTAAAGAACTGAAAGCACAGCACAGCAGTGTTTGAATGATCAGAATTGCACTAAAGTCTGAATTGCTTATCAGAAAGTGTCCTGGGTGTGGAACTGCCCCCCGGCTTCATAATGCCAAATACTCTTGGAGCAGGGCTTTGCGCAAAGCCCAGTGTTTTGGTCAAGCCTCGGCTGGAGGAAATTAGTTTGAGAGCACAATTCATCATTTGCAAAATGGCAATAGATAACATTGCATCTGCTTTAAAATATATATATATATATATATATATATATATATATATATATATATATATATATATATATAAACAACCCGAGGTAAAAGATAATTTCTTGTAAATTATCTCAGTTTTATGTTTACAAAGAGGATTTCAGAGAAACCCCTCTGCCAGGTAGAGTAATCTATTTTTACCAATAGTAAAAAGCAAAGCACCCATCTTAGTCTATTTGATGAAATAAGTCCACGTCACAGGAAAAATAGATTTTAGTGTAAGATTTTCTTTTTTAAATAACACCACTACTCTTCCTCCAAAAAAATCAGTACAAATGTTCCTTCGATTATTCTACATATGTAAGGCTATCTTGGGCACCACTTCGCTCTGGGCAACAATAGAAGAAATAATTTGACTACAAAAATGAAATAAGCTATTATTTGAGTGCTGTAGATAAGAAAAGACAGAACAAAGAAACCAAATAGAAACTAAAGGAATCCCAAACCCTTTCGGATTTGGTTGTTGCTGTTTTTATTGCTGATGCTCAATGTCAGAGTTTTTCCTCCAATCAGTGTACTGCAAAATCACAGCTTTATTTTTAATCCTTGTGTGGTTTGAAGCCAGCTTTGCAGGCGTATATCGTTATCAGTCCACACATTCTCCCGCCAGCCCATCCCCCACCAAATTCCACTATGAAATTGGGAAATTCCTTTGTTAGGCAGAGCACACAAAGGTGTGTTCCTTGAGGGGAAGGAGTAGAAAAACAACAAGAAAAGCCTTTTCTTTATCTCACCATCAAAAGTCCTTGCAGACCCTCCTCACCCACAGCCTTGTGACTTGAGCTACACATTTTTTAGCTCAAAACTAAGCGAGGCCTACACATTTATAGAGTTCATTATGTTCAATTGTTTGGCATGTTTTTAAAGGAATTATTATACTGTGTGACACTAGAATTATAATTTAAAGATCTCTAGCTGAAGAGCCAGCAGAATAAAAAATAAATAAAAAAAAAACACGGGGGGTGAGGAGGGGACAGGGAAAGAAAATGGATCTTTTGTATTTAACATCAAACTAGTAGTAGGAGCAGTATATATATATATATATATATATATATATATATATATATATATATATATATATATTGTATTTTCTAAAAACATACTCTTGAAAGAAATAATAACCAGATTTGAACAACTATTTGCCTAACAAATAAACTGAGGGGAGGTCTGGGGAAGGATTTCCCTTATCCTTTGTTAGTTGATTTCACCCAGATATTGGAAGGGATGGGGGTTGTGTCCTGTTTAAAAAAAAAATTAAGAGTTTTATTTGAACAAAAATCTATGCTAATCGGGAGATGCCGAGAAGTGGTTAGGGGCGCTCCACCCACAAGAAGCCATGGAATGAATGGCGTAGGGAAGGAGCAGAAACAAAGGAAAGTCATTATTTGATTGGCTGCAGCGGAATCCTAGTTGGCTGTTTGTGATTGGCTGTCCTTAGTTGTTTTGATTTTGTAATCTTGAGGCGAAAGGCTAATTCCAATGTAACCCTGATGTTCTGGGGGGGCTAGCATCTGAATCTGTGCCAGAAACCTAATGTAC